CATGCAGACCGGTGACGCTAGAGCCTGTGTGACGGGGAGATTAGCTAATATTATGAGGTTTTTATGAAAAAGCTGTTATGAAAGTTGTATTATTAGAGTAGGTAGCAACAAGGTGGGGGGGGTATGAAATCATCAATAGCAAAAGCAGAATACAAAGCTATACCTACATTGTAGTAAAAATGACACAAGACAAAATGACAGACCAACAGAAAGTGCCGTTGTCTTAAAAGTCCATAACGCCCAGTTTGAAGAATGTAAGTCATGTTCAAGTTCACGTAAAACAAGTGAGTGATGGAAGCAACGCGTGTACTTCAGATCGCACTGCTACCTACCCAAGTAACAGTTGGTCTTTGGGGTCCTGAGACACGTACACAAAATCCCTAGGTAGAAAAACAGGGGGGTGAGCTCCAGTCATAGCACAGAAAAACCTGAGGCAATTCATGCGAACACACTTGTACGTTACCTCAAATACGCCTTTGGTTTATAGCCCATGGCCAGAGCCTTTTCCTCGGACATAATCAGCATCGCAGATGCGCCATCGGTCTGAAATGCGAGCCAGCAGAATGTTAACCCTTTAGCTGCTCCCCGAGCTGCCAACTCATGATACTGACCCAGCGAGTCTATGTAACAGCACTTATTTCACGTGATCCATCCTGAAACCACGATTCAAAACCACGGACCCAGTTTGGGAAGAGGAGGACAGAGGAGCCTCATCAAAAAAGTACGACAATGATCAAAATAGATAAATGTAACAGGATGCCTTAGAGATATGTACCCAGAGTACACTTATATAGAACAGGAGGCAATCATGAACTAAACAATCTTTTATCTATCTCTATATTGTTCTGGGCCGTTTCTCAGCTGCTTGCCGCCTGTGTTTCCTAAGTAATTTTCTTCTGCTTTTAGACTACAAAGAACAAACTGACAGGAGGAGAAGAGGCAGGCAGGTGGGGATGAGCATGGCCGCCGGGGTCTTCCCTCCTCTGACCCCATTCACTTTCCCCGGGGTACAAAGACAGACCATCTCAAAAGCTCTTTACCATCCTGCCAAAAGGAAAAGCTCCTCCAGGGCAAAGGAGCCGGCTCTGTAAAACTGGCAAAATCAAAACAATATCACATTCTACCAAGTTTGTATAGCCCACTGACCCTGCTAACCCTCAGTGATTGGAACCACCAACCACTCCAAGGGAGAAAGAAGAGGCTGTCTGCTCCTGTAAAGACTTACAATGTTGGAAACCCTACACAGGGTCCCCATGAGTTGGGAGTGACCACATAGCAGTGGGTTTCAGAGTCCCCGTGAGGAGCTCTGGCGATGGAAGGGGTCAGGTACTGGGCTGTTAACTCTAAGGTCAGCGGTTCAATCACACCAGCTGTTCCCAGGGAGAGAAGATGAAGCGGTCTGCTCTGGTAAAGATTTACAATCTTGGAAACCTTAGTGTCACTATGAGTCAGAACTGTCTGGCTGGCAGGAGTGGCAATTAAGGCGTCCCTCTAAGGGCCCTGGTGGCATAGTGCGGTAAGTGAAAGGCCAGCGGTTCAAACCCACCAGCCCCTCTGGTTGGGAACAAGACCATGCCGTCTGCTTCCATGAAAGTCAGTGTCTTGGAAAGTCCTGAGAGCAGTTCTACTGCTAGGAGTGGGAATCCACTTGGTAGAGCGCTTGTCTCACTTTGAGTGATTCGTGCCCCGGAGCTTCATGGAGCAAACCTGTACCATTTCTATTTCTTCCTCAATTTAAAAATAGTCATTTTTGCATTGGGTTGCTACTGTATTTAATTAAGTAAGCAGCATCGAATGGCTAGGATTTGATGATCTTTTTGTAAGGTATGTGTTATGAAATGGTTGTTTCTTTGACCAGCTTTATTGAGATAGAATTCACATACCACACAGTACACCTCCATTTAAAGTGTCTCGTTCGGTGCTTTTAGTCTATCCAGTCTATCTACAACTGCTTTAGATCTGATTTTACAACCGTTTTAGCAAACCTCCGTGTTCATGAGCAGCGAGGTTCTCCCATTCCCTTTCCCCAGCCCCTGGTATCCATGCAACCACTGCCACTGGGTCCAGTCCAGCTCACAGAGGCCCTGCGGAACAGAGCACAGCTACCCCATTGGATGTCGAAGGCTGGGCATCGTTATGACGCAGCGTGCTACATTCTGTCTCCCTCGGAGCAGCTGGTGGGTTTGAACAGCCCAATGTGTACCACTGCACCCCAGACCCCCTTGGCAACCATACAGAATGTTATTAGTGTATGACAAAATCGTGTGGCTATGTCTATATGAAACCTGTTTACTTGTATATGTTTGCTCTTAACAACTGCCAGACTCCATGAAAGCCAAGGAGCTGTGACACGCTAGTGAGCAGCTGAACACTAGCACGGCTGCACAGACGGGCAGGAACCCTTCTCTGCTCTTTTGAATGAAAGCTACTCACGGACTTTTCAACTTCCTGCCCTAAAATGCTACTTCCACGATTTCACCTATGCTACAAATGGATGAGAAGATGAAGAATGACTGCTAAAGAAATAAGTAAGTAAGCCTGAGTCACGCATATCCCGGGGAGAAGCAGATGGATATGGGCCCCCAGTGAGCTCTGACCCTCATCCAGGAACAGTTAGTTCTGAAAACATGGCCCTGCGCGATACTCACCCTCATGCAATGATCACTGAAGATAAGAGTGCTATAGCAAAGTGCGGTGAAGAAAGCAGATGGTGCCCAGCTATCAATCGGAACAGTGCCTGGGACCTTAAAGGCTTGTATTCAAACAAGCAGCCATCTAAGCAAGGAGTCAACTAAGCCCACAAGGAAGAAGCACACCAGTTTGTGTGATCCAAAGATGACAATAACAAAATTCAAACATGACAAAGGGAAAAGAGTCCATATTGTGAATACCTAATTTGTAGAAGGCTATGGAGGGCAATGGAAACCCAAAACTCACCTGCAGCGTGTCTAGTCAGAATAAGCCTCTGGCAGATCCCTCTAACTACAGGTAAGGGTCTTGAACTGCGTTACCAACAGACAGAGACCACTGTAATCATGATTATACTGGATCAAACTGGATACTTGGTCAGTTGACCTCTCTCTTGACCCAACCCGAATTTGTTCTAGGTGCAAGTATTTCTTGCTTGCTCCTTAAAAATTTCCCCCTTGGTCTTCTAAAGATGGTCTTTCCTTTCTTACTCATTATTTATATTTTTATCTCTGTATGATTATTATTTTGTCCTTACCCCTTTATTTAGTTTTTGTTTTTTATTGTTTCTGTTGGGTTTTCCAGTTTGTGAAGTGCAGAATGAGTAGCTGTATAGAGATAAGAACTGTTGCCAGGGTTTATAAGGGAGCTGGGGAGGGATGGGAGATAGGGAGGGTGAGGGGTTGGGGGAACAAACAATGCATGTGGGGAGGGGGAAGGGAGAATAAAACTGTTTTAAAAAATTATGGTTGTAACATAGATGAAAAATACACTTCCCTCTAGTTCCTAAATGTTTCTTCCCTGCTCCCACTACCATGACTCGAATTCGACCTTGCAAGTCTGGCTAGACCAGAGGATGTACACTGGTACAGATAGGAACTGAAAAATACAGGGAATCCGGGGCGGATGAACCCTACAGGACCAGTGGTGTGAGTGGCGAAACAGGGAGGGTAGAGGGAAAGTGGGTAGGAAAGAGGGAACCGATTACAAGGAACTATATGTGACCTCCTCCCTGGGGGATGGACAACAGAAAAGTGGGTGAAGGGAGACGTCGGACAGGGCAAGATATGACAAAATACCCATTTATAAACTATCAAGGGCTCATGCGGGAGTGGGGAGCGGGGAGGGAGGGGAAAAATGAGGACCTAATGTCGGGGGTTTAAATGGAGAGAAAATGTTTTGAGAAATGATGTACAAATGCGCTTTACACAATTAATATGTGTATGGATTGTGATAAGAGTTGTATGAGCCCCTAATAAAATGATAAAAAAAATTATGGTTGATTGGCATCCTGAGGATTAATAAAAGTTTATTCATCTCACAAAATAAATAAGTAAACAAACAAATAAATAAGCAAAGGGATGTGACGTGGAACAGGAAAGGGATTATTTGGACCAGAGTTAAGCGTAGCTGTCTAGCTTGTAATACAGATCCAGGTGGCTCGCTTTGGGCAATCACTGCAAAGGAGGAAAGAGTCCAACTCACTGAATCCACATGGCCACGTGGCCTGAGCTGCAGCTACCAATGTCCCTGCTAACTCTCCTCTCGGGCCAGTTTCCTGACATGAAGGTCCCGACCCAGCAGCTCTGCAGGGTGCTTCAGCAGGGTGCTTCAGCGCCTTGCCTAGAGGTCAGGACTTTACCTCCCAGAGGCTGCTCTTGGTTAAACCAAAAAAATCTGTTTAAAGCTGACAACAGCACAGCTCCCCTGCCTCCCGTCTGGGTAGAAGCAAGTGGCCAGGGGCTGGCCGTGGGATTCCATGGCCCAGCCCTGCCTCAGTCCACCTGCTGCCAACTAAGGCTCTCTTCATTTTCGGAGACGTGGAAACGGTCTTCTCACGTTGGTTAGATCACTTGTCTTCCTCTCTCCGGCACACCGACACTCTCTGAAGGACTCCAATCTAGGGACACTGGCAAGTAAGTTTACAGAGCATCATCTCTACCTCAGCAGATCTCTGAAGAGGGCTTAGAGTTGGTCATCTGATGTCCTTGCAGTACTGTAGTACCTACACTTCTTATTTGGGAGAGGAATAAAAGAAAAATGGGCCACAGAAGCAGCCAGTAAAACCTTACGTGTTTTTGGTAAAATGGCAAAGAAAGAAAATCTCCCTGAAATCACCCCAAGAATCAGCAGGAGGTAGGAGCGACACAGAACAAAGCTGGTCCAAGCCTGTGTGGTGAGTTTCCCTGTGTCCCCGGGGCTGGTCCAAGGGCACTGTGAACAGGTGTAAAAGCAAGGGACACTAACCATCTGAGCTATAGATCCAGAAGACCCCGTCCAAGGTGGAAAGTGAATAGAAACCACATCTTGAAAGCAATGACAATAGATCAATAGAAATATTCATTGAGTACACACACACCTGAGAGTGCCATACAGCTAAGTAAGACAGGAAATGATGGTCAATTTACTCCATGGTGCCTATAGGAAAGTATCCCTGGGGTCAGTCAAAAGTCTAATTCTCAGTGCTGCTAAAAGAGGCATCTCTCTCTGTTTTTTCTGCCTACTCTTTCCATAGTTTAGTGACCCTTTGCACAACCGAACAAAACACTGCCCACACCCCCCAATTCACACTCCCCACTCCAACCAGGCCTTTCCCCAAAGAGGCCTTGCTCCCACCCCTCCGGTGCCTGGAGTGCCTCGGCCACATTTCTCAGCTTGGCTTTTCCTCTTCCTTCAAGACTTGGAGCTCAAGCTACGTGATCTCTTCTGAGAAGACTCCCTGACAACCCCAGCACTTTCTATCTGTGGTTTTTATCTTCAGGGTCCAGCACAGGGTCCAGGCCGTGTTTCTTTGAACTGAGTAAGGGCCCGACAAGGACAGCTCTCTGCTATCGGAATGGTGGCTGTTAGGTGATTTCTAAGGATGAGTCTATTTTGTTTAACTCTTATTTTAACCCTGTCTTTATCATGAAAAATGGTATCCTGTAAGCGGCTGTTCGTAAAAACACAGAGAAGTGTACTTCTGGCTCTTGTACGGAGAAGACAGACAGCAGGGAGGGTTACCAGGAAAGAAGAATTCGCAGCTGTCACGGTGCCGTAGGGCTTGATGAAAGCAGGTTTCAGCTTGGCCATCTGCTCCAGCGAGGAAGGGCGGATGCCATTGTCTTGGGTAACTGTGTCTTTTCCTACAAAAACATGGCCTTTTAAAACTCTAGCAAGCATACAAGAGCACCTCCAGGAAGTAGCAGATGAAACAGAAACCATTCCTGTTCACTAGAAAGGAAGCCTTTCGTAGCATCAGGACGTTGTCACGTTTTAAACTAGACACGTAAGAATTTGAGTAAGAAAATGATTTCACACTGCAAATATGTACTATGTTCTGTAGACGTCCATTTACATCTACATATCCTACTCAGTAGTCATCACATGATTCAGGACATTAAAAAATAGGTCAAGAAAATCTATAAGGCAGTGGTTCCCAACCTTCCTAATGCCTTGACCCTTTCATACAGTTCCACATGTGGTGGTGACCCCCAAACCATAAAATTATTTTCGTTGCCACTTCATCATTGTCATTTTGCTACTGTGATGAATCAGGCGACCCCTGTGAAAGGGTCGTTCAACCTCCAAAGGGGTGGAGACCCACAAGGTGAGAACCGCTGCTATGAGGTGATTCTTAGAAAAGCTCCTCTCTACAACGTTTGTCAGTTATTACAACATAAATCAAAACTTGAGTCCCACATTTTGTAATAAAAGTTATGTAATCTGGGCAAAAACAATATACTTATTGAAAAGGTTTTTCTGTGTACTTTAGGAGCAAATCAGAACTCCCAATCAAGTGCCATGATGCATTCCCCTTTATAAAGTTGAATGTGTACTGCACTTTGGACATGTGTCAGGGGAGACCAGTCCCTGGAAAGGGCATGATACTTGGTAGAGGGTCAGCGCAAAGGACGAAGACCCTCGACAAGTGGAATTGACCCAGTGGCTGCAACAACGGTCCCAACCCTAACACTGAGGAGGCCGGGGCAGGGCTGGGCCGTGTTTCGTCGTGTGACACAAGGTCGCTCGAGTTGGAACCAACTTGATGACACTGAACAACAGCACAGACTCGATGCTAGGTCATGCAACATGCCCCAATCATTGAAAAAGCACACTGAAATAAAGTATTTCAGGTCGCAATGCTATAAAACTAGGAATCAGCAGTCAAAAAATCAAATGCATGAAAACTGACTAACAGCTTCAAAACTACTAGGTGATAAAAGAAATTTTAAAAAAATGAAAATTTAAAATCCCTTGAGTCAAACAAGAATGAAAACCCAACATACCAAAACGCTGGGAGACTGCAAATGCAGCGCTCAGAGGGCAACTTATAACAACAGATGCACACATCCGAAAAGAAGTAGCGACACAACATCTCCACTCATTAGAAAGAGAGCAGCCAAGTGACCCCAGTGAGCAGAAGCAAGGAAATAATAAAGACACGAGCAGAAATGAACGCAACCGAAGAACAGAATCGGTAAGAAGCTGGTTCTTCGAAAGGACTGATTAAATTGCCAGACTACTAGGAAATCTAAGGAGGAGGAGATGCACGCAACACGAGTAAGAAATCAAGTGGCGATGTTAACAACAGAACTAACTGCAGTAAGAAGGATAATAACAGAATACTGACGGATTGTTTTTCAACAAACTTGAAGCCCTAGAAGAAATGGACACATTTCTAGTAACAAACCGCTCATCTAAACTACCCTGGGCTGAGGCAGAAAATCTGAACACGCTCGTGGCGAAAGATCAAGCTTTAAGAAAACTCTCAATTTAAAAGTCTGCGGCCAGAGTTTCACTGGTGAACTCCACCAAACATTCAGAGAAGAGCAGGCACCAATTGTACTCCACACAACCTATTCCAGTCACGCCAAGACAGCACTAAAAATAAAACCACAGGCCAGTATCGCCCATGAACACGGATGCAAAATTCTCAACAAAATCCGACCCAACAGACTTCAACAATGTATCAAAAATAGGATACATCGCAACAAAGTGGCGGTGATACCAGATATACCCAAGGACGTTCTACATCAGAAAAACAGTGCAATCCCTTTTACCTGGGACTTTGAAGGGGACAATATCGGAAAGGAGCCCTTCATCCTGTGCTTTCTTAGCCAGCCTGTGAGACCGCAGTGCATATTCATCCTGTTCTGTCCGAGAAACAGCAAAGGCAGCGGCCAGGCGGTCTGCAGAGTGGCCCATGGTCTCACTGGTGGAGAACTCAGCCACTGCCGGGAGCTGGACAAGGAGACATACAAGTACCAGGGACACGGTTAACAGGCATTTTACAGCATCAAGAGTCGTTGGTTTATTTGGGAAAAATAAAATCTAAAAGGAGACGTAATAAAGTTCATGGAAAAATTCCATTATCTTGTTACTCTATTTTTCCACAAACTTTTTGAAGCCCCCTCACAATATTTGTTTACTCTCTCCCTATCAAGCCCAGGGCAATGTGTGTGTGTGTGTGGGATGTCTATAAGGGGTTTACAAACTCACATTTTCTCACTCACCATGTCTCTGAGTTGCAATCGACTTGACAGCAGTGAGTTTGGTTTCAGGGTTCCTTTTTAATTTTGCCCACACAGTCGTAATTAATCCTAAATCTCTGCAGTGAGATGTTTTGGAAGCACATGTCTTTTGTAATTGTGTACAGATCTTACCTCAGGTGCCAGGAAGTTAAATCTGAATTTAGAGATCAATGACAGTCGCTGACCAACAGTCTTGGCTTTATTGAGATCCAGCATCATTTTCCTCATTTTCCTCGAATGACGAATAGGGACGTCAGACATTAACTCTACTCCACCGGCCACCACCACATCACACTGGCCTGAAGCAATCAAGCCAACACCTGTAAGGCAAAGGTCATATGTACATTAACACCTTTTGTGAAAACTACTGTACCACTGATCATTTATATTCTCCATTAAAATTCTTTTGGAGGAACTAATATGCAATTTTTTAAATGACTAAATAGACTGTATATACTCGAGTATAAGCCGAGTTTCCCAGCATATTTTTAATACAGTTTTTGTGGTAAAATTAGCTGCCTCGGCTGATATTCGGGTCAGCTTATACTCGAGTATATACGGTATATCCAACCCATCAGAGAAAAACAAGTTTCATTCAGGCCACATGGACATCAGTTTCTGGAAATACCCATTGGATCAACTCTTAAATCATATTCTATACAGGAATATTTTATATATTATAAAAGGGGGCTTCAAAAAGCACATGGAAAAATTCCATCATCTTTTAATCAAATTTTCCCACATACTTTTAGAATCTCCCTTGTATATGGCCCCCAGCTTGAGTTCTTAGAAAGATTTCTTTCTCTATGAAAGGACTTTTAATTTCTACTTTGATTTTTACTTACTGAAAGCCCTCAAGAAACTGTAGCTTCTCAGATATAAAGCAAATGACCACACATACACACACAACCTTTATGTGGCCACTAACAAGTCTTTGGTGTTTTAACTGGGAGTTGGTCACATGCTGAACAACATGAAGAATGACTGCAACCACAGCAGGGCTCCCTGAGACCAAGGGGCTGAGGCAGCATGTCCACACTAGCCTTGATATTACTAAGAGAGCAGAAGGTTACTCATTCTTTCTGGTTTCTCATCTTCTCATACTAAGGATGGATGCCAAAACATGCCCCACTAGTTTGCAAACATGTGTTAGGAGAATTTTCAACTAATTATAAAAATGCCAAGGATATGAGGGGAAGGGAAGGGAAGAGCCACACATCGAAGCAGTGATCCATAACTGTGTCGCTCCGGAAGGAGCGCTCTAACATTGCGCGCGTGTGTGTGCACAATATGAGGTGCCCTATCAGAGTCACACAGGGCGCAGTCCTCTTCAAATTGCAAAAGGCAGTTTCCTGTACACATACTCCTTCAGTTGATAAAATATCACAAATTGAGAGATTTGTAATCACTTCTTTTAAAAGGGCACATTTAAAAAAGCCTTTTTTAAAAATATGGTTAAAAAATACATCAAGTAAAACATTGCCATTGTAACATTTTTAGAGGCATAATTTAGCAACATTCATCACACTCATTCTGTGGTACACGCATCACCATTATCAGCCTGTAAATTTTCCCATTACCCTTAACAGAAACGCGGTGCCCCGAAGCACTATCTCCTCATTCCCCTCTCCCGCCCACTCCCGTCAACCAATAACAAACGTCGGACTCTATGCATATGCCACGTCTAGATTATTTCCCGGAAGTGAGAGCCCACAGTGTTGTGATTCTGTGCCTGACTGGGAACCAGAGAATGCCCCTGAGTGTATATAAGCCTTCGTTGGAAATACATTCTCTCTCTCTGAGCAGATCTGGCTCCTGAGGTCATGATGGGCCCGGAGGTGAGCATTTGCATGATGTCTCTTTAATTTTACCCCTCAATTACACACTGCTCCTTGGACGCATTCGATTGTGGAGGTTGCTACCCCACAGCTAGCTTATTTCACTTAGCATGTTTTCTAAGGTTGATCCATATGGTAGCATGTATCAGAACTCCATTTCCGAAAGAGTACTTCTGACCACAGAAAGGTCAAAGGAGGGGGACTAATATGCACCTTCTGCTTTCAAGTTAACGTACCTGTGGTCATGGCTTGATTGGCAGAGATGCAGGCCATTGTGACAGTGTGCGCAGGGGTCTTGTCGGAGAAGCCAGCTCCCAGGGCGGCCTTGGGGAGATAACAATGGTTAAATGATGGCTAGTTATTTCAGGTACAGTGACTCTGTGTATTCTTTTCTATCTTCTTTGGATGCTTCCTATATCATTCAACATTTTGCCCATAGAATCTTGCAATATTGCAACTTGAGCTTGAATTTTTTTCTTTAGTTCTTTCATTTTAAGACATGCTGGGGGAGTGGGGGGTGGGAGGGGAGAGGGGAAAAAAGCTGGTACCGATGACTCAATATAAAGTAAATATCTAGAAGAGAATGAGGGCAACATATGTACAAACATGCCTGATTCAACTCATGTATGGATTGTGATAAAGAGTTGTATGAGCCCCCAATAAAATGATTTTTAAAAAAAGGTATGTTGAGTATGTTCTTCCAGCTTGGTTTTCTAAGTCTGCACATTTCACTATAGTATTTTATATTTTCGTCTCAAGCTGCCCTTTGAAAATGTCTGCTTAATTCTTTGATTTTATCATACTCTATGATCAAAAAAGCATGTTTCAGAGTTTCTTCTGACACCTACCTTGATCTTTTCATTGTTGTCTTTTTAATGCCTGTTAATCTTACAGAACCATG